TACTCCTATTTTAAAAATGTTTAAAAATTTATTGTATGTAGTTAAAGTTTATCTAGGAATGGGAAATATATTTTGTTTGTGAATGCATACAATAACTGAAATGCTAGTTCTGATTTGTGAGCTTTACATGGTGCTTTTCTGGCTTCAAACCTCACAGCCGGCCATGAGGGAACCCTTAACCGTGTCTGCAGTGAAACCTGTGGCCAGTCTCTTTAATAGGTGCCTCTTTTTTCAAACCTTCTCATTCCAGACTTGAATGGTCTCAGAGATTTCTCCTGTGTATTTTACATTCCATGTAGCCATGAATATCCAGCCTTTTTTTAAACATTTAAGATCTTCAAATTTGAACCTTTGTTTTCCAGCATTCTAGATGGAAGTTCCCAATCTAACTCGAGGGTCACTGCATTGTTTTTCTAGAAAGACTCACAGAACCCAGAAAAGGTTTAGATACTTGGCTGTGGTTGATTTTAGTCAAAGGAAACAGGGAAAGACCAGCAGTGGAAAATGTGTAGTAGGATGGGAGCTGGGAGATGGGCTTACCTTCTGTACCCACAGTGGGGTCAAGCAGACAGTGTTTAGTTCTAGTACAAAATCGTCAAAGGAAGCAAACCCTGCTTTTTATTGGGAACAGATCAGGTGGGTGTGGTTGACCCTAGTCTACCTCCCATACTGAAGTCAGACACATAAGTTTGCACAAAGCCCACACCACAGGGTCCATTGTTAGCATAGATTATCTTCGATGGATTACGTCATCAGGAAATTCAAAGGGACCGATATCAGGCAGACCATTAAAGGAGACCTCTCAGGAGCTGATTTGGGCTAGACTTATCATTGCACTTTGCAGAGTTAACAATTTCTTCATATCTTCTAATCATGAAGGTCTGGTTTAGTGTCTGGCCTGCCTCATGCCTCCCTGCCCTGTCCTCAGCAGGACTGCCATGGCTAAGGTTTTGCACCCCTCTTATCCTAGTATTCCACTGAACCCCAGCGCCTCTTCTTTTCTTGTATCACGTCTCATCTCTTTCTGCAGTTGAGTTCCCTGTAGTCTTTCGTCATCTTCTTTGCCATCTATTAGAGTGGAGTGTGGCTCCTTTCTGTCTTTATCCCATCGGCCGTGTGCAGTGGTAGGCTTGACGTGACGGTGGACACTCCCCTGCCTCAACGTCTGGGAGGAGGTCAGCTCTCCTTCCTCCTTAGCCTCTTATAGGAGGTTCTATTTTTAGATTTTCTTATTTCACATGGTAAGCGATTAAAAGGCCATCTTTCTGCTTGTGGTCCCTAGTTCCCCACGGTCCCAATTTCCCCCTTAGAGGAATTGTTTTCTTTTAACTGTGTCTACTTCTTGTGTATTCTTATGGAGTCCTTTCTGTGGTGGCCCTGTGCAGGGGTTCCAGCAATACACCAAGCACAAATGATGGTACCAGGAACTCACGCTCCAACTCAGTGTGTGTTGACCAATGTGGTTCTTCACTTACTGCTGCTGATGCTCAGGCACTGCTGATGGGTTTGCTATTTGCTCCATTTGTAATTTGTCAGTTGGACATACCTCATCACCTCTTCTCATACTCTACTCTCTTCTCACTCATCCGTCAGAGCACATGTCACCTGGCATTTTCCCCTGGGCTGCTTTTCTTACCTATTTTATCTGCAGATAATGTCTCTCCTGTTTCCCCTCACAGTTTCATGATATTTACTGACTTATGTAACAGAGGCATCACATGGTGACTTGTGTGGTTTTCTGAGAGCACAGCTCCTGCCTGATGTGTGTTCAGGCTTGGCTCCTTCCTGTATTCTGACATCAGGATGTCATGTATGTAGTTGGTGTATGGGATCTACATACTGATGCCAAGACATCGCCACTGACCATTTATGGTTTTACCAGACCTTTATCTGGTAAAATCTCAGTATCACTATATTTATTTAATTTCCAGTGTAACTTCAGTATTTGGGAAATACCAGGTTGAACAGTGCCTAAAATGTGGATTTATTTTGGAGATTTATCAAGTCTTCTGCTTAGCAAGTCTCCACAAGAATGAATAAATACACACTACCTCCTGCCGAGTAGAGTGACCAGAGAGAATAAAGCATGTGCATGTTCAAAGCCAGGCACTGATGGGCACTTAGCAAGCTGAAATGGATGTTCACATCTCACTCTGTCATTTCCACATGGAGACATTTCAAGAACCCATGGAGGTAGTTATGGGATGAAACTTCTGAGAAAAACTATTTGTGTATCAACAAGAGTTCTAGTGATGATTCTGCACTTACATTCCTAGAGACAGATATTTTCCCCATAGTAGTTCTGTAAACTTCAGAGGTCGAGTGTATCAAGGTCACTATCAAGTAGAGAGAGAAAAGAGTGATGTCAGTGGAGCCATAAGACAAATGGGGAACCTGATGTTATTAAATCAGGTGGGCATGCTTCTGGGTTAGCGTAACCTTTTTCCTTTTGACTCCCTTTGGTTTTCTGAATACGTTTGAATGATTTGTTACTGATATATCTGCTGGTTTATGTCTTCACTATAACCAAAACCTGTGAGCAAGCTAGGCTTCTCCATCTGCAGGAATGTTCCTGTACCTTGGCTCCTGCTAAGAGTATGGTATGCTATCACAGGAGCTACACCTGAGCCCATGAACCCTCCTATGTCGTGTGCTTTCAAACTGTTCCCCAAGTGGTTCAAGGCCTGGTTTGATAATTGTGGAGCCTCAGAAGAAGGTCCATGTTGCTAGCTTAGCTATCTGGCATATGGCTAGTGGCTATCCATCTCACTGTTGGGACAAACATGGACATGGACTTTGTATTCATACATCAGGGTTCTGAAGGGAGCTGTGCTTTCTTCAATCACAGGAGGTCTGTCCATCACAGTTGAGTGATAGAGAAAGAGGCAGGGAGTACAGTAAGATGAATTGTTCTGGGGCTGTCTGGCTATCCTGGCTGTGGCTGTCCCTGTTTGAACTGAGCAGAGATGCTCTCCTGCAATATCTTTGTTTCTACCCCAGTCTTCAAATCTAAAAGTGTTCTCTTTGGCTTCATCTTCTTTGTCAGTTAAGAAAATACTGTGTTCTATGGACATTGTTCACATGTCCAGTGAAGTTCTATATCAACTTATCTCTGACCTCCGGACAAAAGGCTCATTGTCCATTTTAATTTAATTCTTATGTGTTGGCACTAGTAGACAACCAGAGCCATAGTGGGCACCAGCGGATCTGTCCAATTCTATTACTCACACCTGGACTATGATGTGAATAATCAAACGTGAGACAATTGTAGTCGTGATTGTTATAAAACATTTGGTAGGGTTCAAGAGAATAAGCTTGTATATTCACATGTGCCCTTTAATATAACCTCCTAATAAACATTTTGTTGCCACACCCATCATAGATATTGGTGATGAGAGAAAAAAAAGAAAAGAAAGGAAGAATTTGAGTGTTTTACATTATTTTCCTGGGCTGAGCATTCATCTTTTCCTTTGGGAAAGCTCCTTGACCCTTCTTTTGGCCTCAAAGAGTTGCGTCTGTACCTTATCCCTTCCAAAGGATGATGTCACAGGCCATGAAGACCCTACCGAGACCTTAGAGTTGCAGGGCAGAGCTGCACCTGGCTCGCTTGGCAGCACGTCCACATGCTGCTCTCATTCACTTCTCTCAAATCCTCCGTTTCTCCGTTGGGCTTTCCTAGAAGCCGGAAGCCTTATGGAATCACCGTCCCCGTGTCCCCAAAATCCAGGACACCCCTAAAGGCATTTCAGCTGGCTGTATTTCTGTGATCTACAACTTCCAGCAGTTGTATTAAACTTTGGGTTATTTTAACGGAGGTTGGCTTTAAGCTAGTTGGCTTTTGATCATCACTGACATATGCCACATGGGGCTCATTGAGTGGAAGAGTTGCTGGAATGTTCTGGAAGGTCTTCTCATTTTCTCATCACCATCCACAGCTGCTCTCTATTGTGTGGGTGAGGAATGAGGACATCCCTGTGCTTCACATGTACAATAGCCAGAAACCAATGGGAGAAGAGGGGAAAGAGTCACGATAAATAAGGGGAAAGGAAGGACATGAGCTGGTCTTCAGCATTGGTGGACACAAGTGTCCTTCACTGATGGCAGACACATTGTTGCACAGATAACAAGTGGGGAGTCACCTACCTCAAGCTCTGGTGTAAATGTTTGATGTTACAACCTGGCTTTCCTGCTTTAATAGAATACATTTATGAGGTGATACTCTAAGTTTTCTGGCTTTTAGCAAAGTAAATTTATTTTGTGCTACTGGACAACTTTTCTTATTAAATCATATAATTGTGCAGGAAAGACCGGGACACGTGACAGTGCAATCTCAGATTCTGGTGTAGTTTATGCTATACATATTTCTAAGACCTCTGTACGACCCCTTATTCTGGGTACTTTGGCATAAGCTAAGCAGTGGAGGAGTCATTGAAATGGGCACCATTTTATTTTCAAACTTTTAAAGGTAATCCCAGTGAATCTGAAATAATGGCTCCTATGGATGTTTCATGAGATTTTTTTCACATGTTGAACGGCACTAAAATTTTTATTTTCTCAGCCTGGAGAAACAGCTCAGCAGTTAAGGGAGTGTACTGCTCTTGCTGAGGGCCTGCATTTGGTTCTCGGCTCACATATCAGGAAGCTCACAAGTGCTGATAACTCCAGCCCCAGGGAATCTACAGCCTCTCGCCTGTGTAGGCACCCACACTGACTTGAACATACACCTTTCTCCCACCCCAGGCAAATAATTCAAACTAAATTAAATCTTGGAAGGAAACCATCAGCATTAGTTTTTAAGTTTATCCTTTTTTAAGAAATAAACCCAGCCGTGTCTTATAATGCTAGGTTTCTCATAATCGTGATCACCATGCTATCCTGTGTCCCTCTAAGGATGCCTGTACTGGCTGTACAGGGCATTGATGGAACTTCCTAGCATTTATAAGCAAAGACTGCAGTGATTTTCAATATGTTCTAACTGGATCTCTTTCTCTTTGTTGAAGGGCTGGCGTGTGACAACGGGGCTTGGGTGCCCATGTGGCTGTGTAGTTCGGTGTGATTCATGACGGAGAGGCCACTCGTCTCTGCCCTCTCTCTCCTCGGTAAGTGAGACGCCTGAGTGGGAAGTGCTGAGACCCAGAGAGAGTGCTACACATTTAGACTAGACGTCTCTTCTGTTAAAAATGGCAGTAAATGATAGCTTTCAGAAAAAAGAACTTCTTTTTTAAAGGTATTGCTATTTGGGTTTGAGCATACTGTGAAATCACTGGCGAATCTCTGGGACAGGAAGAGAAATGGTGACTCACGGTGGCTTCTAGTCACAGTGTGACTTCCTAGCAGGTTTCAGTCTTGTGTCTGTACTGTGTCCTGGCTTGCTTAGTTTGTGGTGTGTCCATCTGTCCTTGCACTTTCCTATGGTGGGACTTCCTAAGGTGTCTTGTACCTTCTGAGAGAAGCCACAAATGCCCACACTGTCCTCAGGGATGTGATTTAGCTAGTAGCATAGAGACCAGTGTCTCACCTTCCAGAGCCCAGCCTCCCATCAGCAGTCCTGCTGTGGAGTCATCTAAAGTCCAGCCCTACCTCCTACATCTGTGGGAACTCACCTTAGGTGTCTCAGACTCTGGAGTTAACCTCTCATGTCAGACCTGTGGCCACCTTTAGAAGGACTGGAAAAGGGAGGGAAGGGAATACAGGTTGCTGTGGAGAGGAGAGGGGAGGGGAGGGAGAGGGAGAGGGAGAAGGTGAGGGAGGGGGTGGGGGAGAGTCAAGGACAGGGACAGGGACAGGGAGAGACAAGGATCTATCCTTCATAAACTGCTCACTGGGGACATTCCACTTTATTAAATTACTTCTCAACATAACTAAGTCTCACTGCAGGCAGCTTTGTTGTACTTTCCAACTTAAAAAAAAAAGCCAGTGACAGCCATATATACATTCTGTGTACGTTTGACTGTCACAGTTGTTTGACAATGTTGCCAGTTCCCTCTTGTTTTGCATCCTGATCTCTACTAAATGGATTTTAAGAGTTCAGTTCCAGGTGTGTGGAGGAGCTGGGCTGACACTGAATATTCTGTCCAGTTTCTACATTTCACAGGACAAGCGTCAGTGCTACATTGTGTGTCTTTCTGTAGCCCACATAAATTCAGGTTCACCAGTTATCTAAGTACAACTAACTCCAGCACCAGGACATCTCAGTCCCTCCTCCATGGAGAACCACAGATCCAGAGAGATAGAAAGAGCCCCAGGGATATTAAGGAGTCGGGTAGCTGTGATTTGGATGTGCATGGCCCGTACATTATAGGAGGATATTATTAGCTCACGTAGGTTGCACAGGGTTACCAGGCCCTGTGCTGGAAAAGACATCTAATTCTTGCTTCCATTCTTTAAAGCAGGTGCTTTCATGATCCTTAAAGATGAGTGAACTGAGTCATAGAAAGAGTCAGTAATTTACCTTCCCAGTCAGGGGCAGACAGATACCAACTTACAGCATTGGGCATGCCATTCTGGAATGATAACAGACATGCACTATTATTATTATTTTTTTCCATTCCAAAAGTTCCAGGGCTTTTAATGAAAAGGATACAACAAGTATTAAGGAAGTGATTTTTTTTTTCAAGCAATTGATTTGTCAATCAGAAATTGACAAAGTTCTCTTTTGAAGAGGTAGGGGAAAGCACGTTAGAGTCTACGGGCCTTAGATTCTCTGCTATGTCACCTTAACTCTGCCACTGCAATGTGACAGTAGCCACAGGCAATATCTAAATGATGAGTCTGACCATGTTCCAGTTATTTACAAAGGTAGGGAGGAGGCTTACTGTGGTCCCCACGGCTCTCTTTTGCTGAGCTTTGATATATGTGTTCTCTGGAGTGCTTAAAGATCTCATCACAGAGAGGACGAGAATATATCAGTAGTCATTAAGTCTCCTAACAAGATTTAGCGTGGGTGCATAGAATCCTATCTCAAATTTTAATGAAGTCTCCACTGTGCCTGCAAAAACCAGGGAATAAAGGCATCGGGGGCTCCATCCCTTGATAAAGTCTACTTACCCCAAATGTGTTAGGCTAAATTTTGGTGTCGGAACTATAGCTATTTAAAGTAAGACCTGAGGAACACTTGGCGTGTCCTGTTGCACACCTGGCATGTGTGGCTCATTTACAAAGCAAGCTCAGTAGCATGTCCTAATTACCAGTGTTTGTGCCTTTTCAGTTCCAGGCTCTCCTCATACCGCCACACATACATGTAGGAGCAGTGTGCAGTTATTTTTGGCTGTCAAATAACTATGTTGGAGAAAATGTTGAGCTATTAACTGTACTTATTTTACTAAGAGCAAAAGCCTGTGTCTGCAGGACTCATATATTTTAAAACAAGAAATAACCTTGCAACACTCTACACTTGCATCCAAAGAGGTGGTTTTGTTTTTATTTTTTGTTTTTGTTTTTGTTTTTATTCGTTTGGTCTTTTATTGACTATTTACACTTACATACAAGTAAGGGGATACAAACTGAGGAGGTTATATTTATGTATTTGGAATACACACATATTTGTATGTAATGACTACAGATGAAAATCGAGGCCATGAATTTGAAAGGAAGAAGGTGGGTATTGTAGGATGACTTTCGGGGAGTAAAGGGGAGCAAAGGAATGCAATTATATGACAATCTGAAAACCTAAAGGAACAATTTTAGAGCACTATTTTCTCTTTTAAAAGGGTACCTTACTGTATATTCGACTGTAGTATATTACTGGAAGCCCAGTTACTCTGCTTCTTTGAGGAATTAGATCAAGTTCCCTCATTCTTGGACCCTGATAGAACATAGCTTTTGTGTACATGCCTTTGCCACGGAGCTCCTCACTCCTGGATTCTTACCCCACCCGTGTGGAAATGTGCTCTTACCTTTAGTAACAGTGGCTACCATTGAGATTCTGCCTATAGAAATAAAAGTTCTGTCTATGACATCATATTAACTGAGAAAAATAAATTGCAATTTGCTATTGTATTTATCTTAAAGTGTGTCTATATCCATGTAATCTCTGTACACAGTTTATGTATCTAGTGAAGTCTGCTAGACTATATGCTGTACTTTCAATATGATATCTCTACAGTTGAGGAGTTTGCATTCTTAAAAATATTTTTATAATACTTATATATTTACTTATCTATTTACTTATCTTGAATGAGAGTGTGTGTGTGTGTGTGTGTGTGTGTGTGTGGAGACATATTGCCTACATGGAGTTTGGAGGACAACTTCCAGGAGACATCTTCCTCTCTCTCTACCATGTGAGTCCCGGGAATTGAGAATAGATTTTGAGGCATGGAAGGAAGTAGCTATCCACTGAGCCATCTTGTCAACACCAAAGGGATTTGTATTTCACAGATAATTTCAATGAAAATGAATAAATTATTTGGATGTAGTGAATGGTGATTGTTGGAATACATGCTTAAAAAAGAACATATTCCAGTAATGCCTTCATGAAGTTAACTACTGCTAGTATTTAATGTGATTTCCATTAGTATGTCTTTTATGAATGATTTGTGGAATTAAAGCAGCATAGACATACAGGTTTGATCGAGACTTTTCACTTGTTATACTATGCATGCTTCATAGTATGGCAAATTGTTAATAAACCTAATTTTAATGTTTAAATACTATCCTACCATGGAAAGACTCAATTTTTGGTTGGATGTGCTTGAACTGAAGTGATCATGGACAGAGGGGTTGGTCCAGACTTCCCACCCCTGGCTTGTCTTGTTCCAGCTTTGGCAGGCAACATTGTCATTATTTGTGAAGCATAGATATTTGGTGCATTAGCAGTGTTGCAGGAGCCCTAACCATCAACATAGAACCTTCGTCTAATTGAGGGTTGATTCATTAGGAAGAATAACTGTAGCTGATTTAGTATTTCAAAATAAGGGTCTTGTTAGACTGTCAGCCGGCTTTTAAAAGTGTTAACAGATAATTACCCTTCACGAACAATGTGCTGGAGAGTTTGTTTTGATAAAAACATCACTCCCGCTGGGTAGCATCCCTTAATAATTGTTTCGAATGATGACACTCATTCTCTTTTCTCTCTCTATTTTTTTTTTATTGTTTCTCATTTTGTGGATGTTATTTAAGTGGTAATTAGCTGCGGGGCTAGGATGGAGGCCGGAAACAAGCACGTGTGACGATATGCTCATGGGTATGTGTAGTTAGTAAGACCCAATGCTTTGTTTGAAGTTTTTCTAACAATTTAAGGAGATTAACTCATTGTCGTTGCTTCATGCTTTCTGATGGTTTAACTTTTAAAAATCGCACACAAATGGCTTTTCCTACATTTTTCGCTTATTAGCTTTATCGTTTTAAATATAAAGTTTGCTTTAATTGTGTTAATTTTTTTCTTTATAGTTTCTTTAGTCACTGCTTAGAAACTTGAGATTTAGTTTTACTGTTTTGTATGTAAGGAAAGATCTTCGTGTTTCGATTCAAGAGGCAGTGACTTTAGATAGATGATGCTTTTCAAGCTGTTCACCTACTCTTCTCTCCCTCATCCTATTTTTAAGGGAAGACTTTATTCTATTATTTTAAATTATGCACATTTGTGTGGGTTTGTGTGTACCTGTGTATGCTTGAGTGAGTGTAGAGGCCTGCAGAGGCCAGAGATGTTGGATCCCCTGGAGATGGAGTTACAGGTAGTTGTGAGCTGCCCAGCATGGGTGCTAGGAACTGACTTTGAGCCCTCCCCATGAGCTCTTAGCGCTTAACTGCTCATTCATCTCTTCAGTCCTTTTCTTCCTTATCAATAGATCAATCTCCAATTTTAGTATCAAAGAATATGAGGGCACCCAAAACCCTATGCAGGTAGGAAAGGCTTGAGTTTTACTTTCCTTTATTTTACGGTGGAGACCCACATTACCAGTCAGGCTGCTGAAATTCCTTAAGTATTTTGTAAGTCCTCTTTGTTCAGAAAAAAGAGTAACTTCTGCACTTTGGGGTGTTCTGCAATCCTTACCTATCATTGAGAAATTGTAAATCTAAGCACGATGTAAATACTTATAAAGGTACATGGTGTTGGCCATCAGTTTTGGATTTTGTCAGCAAGCTTTAATGGTACATGACA